AGCTGTCACAGAAACTGAAGCTGAGGCATCTAGGAAAGTGCAAGATGTTCCCTTCCCTAAACACATGAAGCAGAATAAAAATGAAGAACAGATCTGGCAGCACAGTTTGCATTTCCCATTATTATTTGCACTCTCTGCATGTTGTGGATTGCAAGGGAAAATAAGCTGCTCTGAAACCTCTTTTCATTGCTCCTGAACAGTCTAGTTGGTCCATGTATCCAAACCTCTCATTACTCAGCCAGACACTTCTACTGTATTCACCTCCTTGCTTTGTTTATCCATGATAACATGACTTGAGTGCATTTCTGCCTTACCATGCAAGTAGGTGTTATGATTTATGCTTTGTTTTCTTAAATAGCCTCCTACAACACACTCCTTTGTCTTCAAAACACAATCCCCTCTGTGCTTCTATTCTCTCCCAGGCACCAGCTGAGGTACCACTCACACTGTCATTGCTCTAACTCCTGAAGTCTAATCCCAGCACAAGAAAGATGTGGACCTGTTGGAGAGAGTCCAGAGGAGGCCAAGGAGATGCTCCAAGGGCTGGAGCCTCTCTGCTCTGGAGCCAGGCTGGGAGAGCTGGGGGGATTCACCTGGAGAAGAGAAGACACCTGAGAGCCCCTTGCAGGGCCTAAAGGGGCTCCAGGAGAGCTGGAGAGGGACTGGGGACAAGGGATGGAGGGACAGGACAAGGGGGAATGGCTTCCCACTGCCAGAGGGCAGGGTCAGATGGGATACTGAGAAGGAATTGTTCCCTGTGAGGGTGGGGAGGCCCTGGCACAGGTTGCCCAGAGAAGCTGTGGCTGCCCCTGGATCCCTGGAAGTGTCCAAGGCCAGGTTGGACGGGGCTTGGAGCAACCTGGGCTAGTGGAAGGTGTCCCTGCCCATGGCAGGGGGTGGAACTGAGTGGGCTTTAAGGTCCCTTCCAACCCAAACCAGTCTGGGATTCTGTAAGTGAGGCAGCCTGCTGGAATTACTTAGGACTCACTGAGAGCTGTCTGCCAGCCACAGCCTGGATATAACATTGATTGAGAGGCCATGGAGAGAGAGTAAGGGCTCAGTCTTCAAACCTCTTCAGTCCTTGTCCTTTTTACTAAAGCATTTGGGAGTAGAAATCTTTGTCCACCTGGAATAGAATGGAAATGACATTTCCACCCAACTAGCCCAAATCAAATGTTTTTTAGCCCATGCAAACCTGAGTGTGAACTGACAACTTTATAGATAAAAACAATAAAATGTCATCCTTCAAACCAGTGACTCTTTACCATTGAACTTTACATGGAATGAAATCCTTGTGTTCTGCAGTATGCCCATAGCAACTTCAGGTTGTAACTAGTGCTAACCTGTGGTTTTGCTGGTTTACAAGTCAAAACAAGAGAAATCTTCATGATACAGTACAAGAACTTCCCAAACAGGTAAAAATTATGTGCCTTTACAGATTAAAAAAAGTATCAGAAATTACTTACTTGCCAGGTACTGCTGGAATAAAGGACAGTAAATAGAGGAGGACTGGTACACTGTACTTACCATTGGATACACACTTTTCCATTAGATCTGCTGTTCCCAAGCACATGGATAGTATTTACATTACAGATTAACTAAACTTGGAGTGAAAACATTCTGAAAACTTTGTCACTAGGTAAATATCTTTAAGCTGAATGTTCAAGTTAAATTTCAAACCCTTTTGTCCAGTTCATTACGTCCAACTGGGCAATGTTTTCCTGTTAAACATCTTTCTGAATTGGTTTTGCTCTGCTTCATTATTCCTAAACAATCCCTAGAGGAAGTTCAAAGGATAAGGGTTTATCGTGTCTCTCCAAATACAAATGCCTCTCTTAAACTGTGCTGTCATAACAGTCACGAGGTCTCCCAGCTCAGTTAGTGCATGTGGTCAGAAACAAGAAAAATATTGTACTTATAAGCTTTGGAACTTATAAGCACGAAGAGTCAAAGCTGATCACAGGCTACCTAAATTCAGTTAGCCCAGAGCCTGCCTAAGAAAGGTCTGCTCTGCCCCAGGTAAGTGCAGTGACCTATGTGGGAAGCAGAGATATTTTTTCCCCCTTTTATTTGCCTGCCCTTCATCTTCAGATGAAGCCTCTTGACCTTCTTCGTAAGAGGCCACTTCATACCCTTGTGTATTAAATACTTTCAGCTTTACTCAGAGTTTGCTGTTTTGTAACAAAACCTCCTCAAAGCACTCAAGGAATGGAAAGAGAATGTTGTAGTAATAAGGCAGAATTCTTTTTCTCTGACAGAAAGACCCAGCAAGTTTATATTGCTTCATCACTATAAGACTAAAAAAATTTTGGTTCTACTCAACCAAAACTTTCTTAACCTACATTCATGTTTTTTATTTGTCCTGGAATCCGACCCCTTCAGCCTGTCACAGATCTGTTTTTTCAACGTCTAATGCCATTAATAATTAGGTATCTCAGTTCTCTGACCGTGAGAACTAAATTATATGTACCACAGAACATCCTGCTTGCCTCAGAAATCTTTTCATCTCTTAGTTATCTCCTCATCGCTGTCATTATAAAAATGGATATGGATTTGAAAATGGGTCATGCAAAAAAAACCTTCCACAAATGATGCCGCAAGACATAATCAGAACCCTTAAATCTCCATATTTCAATGGGTTCAGTGGAACTATAGTGACTTTAGTAATTCTTTTTATGGCAGTCAGTGATCAGAAAATACTTCTGCATATTCAGTAATGCTTCATCTCTCGTTCTTTACACACTGTAATAGTTTATTTTTCAATTTATACTTACAAGTTGGGTCTCAGGAGGTTAGTGGTATTTTCACATATCCATATAAGCTCTAAGTTTTTTAAATGTAGTGTCATGAATAATTGTCATCACTCAAGAGGCATGTGAAGCCTACCGAGTTCTTTTCAAAAAAATTGAATAACCCTTATCTCACACCAGGGATTTCTTGGGTTTAAGTGTCTCCAATTAATTACTGCTGCCTCGTAGACTCATAAACTATCCAATATTTCCTGGAGAGACGTAGAGGCAGAATTCTTTCAGACAAGCACATCCAGAAAACAACCCTTGCTAAGTACAGATAATGCTTCCCACTGACTGTGCTAATGTTTCTTACGTCTTCAACAGATACAGCCTTGAAAGTATTTGTAACTTTTTTATCTTCCCTTTTTCCCCCCCTTTCCCATGGTGTCATATGAGATCTGACTGTGTATCATTAACTGTTTGACATGTCCTGGATATCATTCGGAGCCAGGCTGTTTTCATGTGAAATCATTTCGAAGGATTTTAAATAAGAAGCTCTTACTCCATCTACTAAATCTGGTTTATGTTATTTCACCTTTCAAACTGCTCGAACACATGACATCTCCTGAAAATTAACAATGTATATACTATGAGGTGATACCTAATTTAGTTTATCCTATGAAAGTCTGATCAGCTCCCACAGAAATAAATTAAAAACACTGTGTTGACCTAACAAAAATTAGATTTGACCCTAAAAGGGCAGGACTCTGCTTACATGAACAGAGAGAACATGGTATTTCTATCAGTCTTTAAAGTGAGAATGAAAATTCAGGAATCTCTTACTAGAGAGAAGGAGAGAGATAAGGACATAATTCCAGTGAAGTCAGCAGAGATAAACTGATAAAACTGCTTTCAGGATGAATTCTGACAAATGAAGCAAAGCCAGAGTAGCTGGTACAGCCTCAGGTTAAAATCAAGACACAAAATAAAGATGTTTTGCATGATAGAGACCGTTTATAACCATAAGGACATACGTTCAGCTCAGCACTTTCATCTTTTCCCTTTTATATTTGCATTTATGATCTCACCTGGGTTTCCTACCCTGGATTTCTTCACAGCCATAAGCATGCTGTACTCTGTGCTTAGGGATTTTGGGAGCTGCTATGGATTCTGCTTGGAGAGTGCATGTGTCAGTGCCCATGGAGCACTGCAGCAGTGCTGTCACCTGGATTTTAAACTTTTGAAACAGTCCTTCAGCTAGGGATGAAGTTCCCTTGTCTGCCTCGGTCCAGAGCTCTTCCTGTGCTCTGCATACAGTCTTCCTGAAGTCTCTGACATGCTTTTGCTCTCCTGGATCTTCCAGAGGGAAGAACAGCAGCTCAAAAGTGGAGTTACTCTGTGCTGTTGCCCTGGGTGTGACTGGGCACTTTGGGGTTCCTGTGACCAGCTCAGAAACCCTTTCTGGAGGCTTCCCCACAGCACAGACCAGGCTGAAGCTGCTGCTGCCTGGGGAGTGTGAAATGAAGGGCACTCCTTGGTCCCCTCCTCATCTAAAACTCTGCCCCACTGATCTCTTGTAGGATCATTACTGTGCATCTGCAGCAACCCTGGAACAAGGCTGGCCCTCCCAATGGGAGCAGGCGTCTCTATGAAATGATGAAGCAGCACCTATTAAACCTGCAAATTCTTCTATATTTAGAAAAGACCTAGAAAACCTGTCCAGAATCTGGACTTCTGCTATGTCGTAGAATAGTAGAATCATCAAATGGTTTGGGTTGGAAGGAACCTTCAAGCCCATCCAGTGCCACCCCCTGCCACACCTTCCACTAGCCCAGGTTGCTCCAAGCCCTGTCCAACCTGTCCTTGGACACTTCCAGGGATCCAGGGGCAGCCACAGCTTCTCTGGGCAACCTGTGATCATGCTCTGAGACTAGTTGCCCCCACTAAAGAAAATAAAGTTGCTGAGCCTACAGGCAGCTAAAATGCTTTCTCTAGTTAACTGATATGGTTTTGCAAGTGAAAAAGTGTATTGGGTGTGAAGCCCAGCTGCTTTTTGGTGGAACAGTAAATGTAAAATTCAAAGACAGAAAAAAACCCCATGTTCACTTCAACACTGAGGTTCTTCATTAAAACATAAAATACATTAAGCGTGGAACATAAATATTACTTTTAGAAGAAAGGGAAATTGAGGCTCCATTAGTAAAGACAGTGAATAAGGAAATATAACTGAGATGGATTTGATTAATAGATTAGGAATGACAAAATAACCCAAGTAATGTTTACTTTCCCAGCATTAAGTAACCTTAATTACATTCTACTTCTCTAATAGATGTTTGCCACAGGGCATTTATCCACCATGTTGAACAGTAAATTTATGTATTTCTTTATGTAAGTCTCAGTATCAGCAGTCTATTTTCGAAAGCAACATTAAGGTCATGTAATGTTCTATATTTAGGGTCTGTGCCAGAGCCCACTGGAGCTGTATCCCACTGAATCCCCAGCACCAAAGTGAGCCTTGTTGATGTGAGATGTTCCACACTGGGGAGTGTAATTGCTCTCTGGTCTGTCTGCCATCCACAGAAATAGTGCATTTGCCACTTTTCTGTAGGTGAGAGAGTGAGTACCAAAATTATGACTCAAGGTCCCCACCAGGTTTTACAGCTCTACATATTTTTATATATACACTTATATATGCATTTTACAAGGGCATGTAGTGATAGGACGAGGGATAATGAGTTTTAACTGAAAGAGGGCAGATTTCCATTAGCTGTTGGAACTCGGAGCAGTTGGCCTTTGCTTCAGATTTTGCTGAGATTGGGCAGACAGGGTTTGGGCAGCTGCAAACCTTTCCTGGTCACTCCTGCTCTCCACAACCTCCCAGACATATCAGAGACTCATGGAATGGTTTAGGTGGGAAGAGACCTTGAAGATCATCCAGTTCCACCCCCTGCCACAGGCAGGGACACCTTCCACTAGCCCAGGTTGCTCCAAGCCCCGTCCAACCTGGCCTTGGACACTTCCAGGGATCCAGGAGCAGCCACAGCTTCTCTGGGCAACCTGTGCCAGGGCCTCAGCACCCCCACAGAGGGACAAGGTAAGTCAACAGGAAGCATCTGAAACTGTGGTCCCATATTTGCAAATTCTCCATGTATTTGCTCCATGAAAATAATTTGTGGAGGGAAAGAGATAATGGCTGTTTATGAAAGTGGCAGTGTTTGTTATCACTGTGAAATAAGAGCAAATCCCTAAAAAAAGTAAAATTATCTAAATTATGAGAGAGGTGGTTGAACTCCACAGTGGTGACATTTCTAACTAAATATTGGAATGAAGCAAACAAGTGAATAATCCCTTTCCACAAAGCACTGCTCATAACAGCTGACATTTTCAGGCCCTATTTCAGTGCCTTGCTGTATGTTAAATACTATTGCCACATTAAAATATAAATTTCAACTTTGAAATGTTACAGAAATAACTCCTCATTCCCTTGAGGAACGATGTCACTGTCAATGGGCTGCAAAGAAATAAGAAGACATCTGTGCAGAGACAAAGAGAACTGGAGTAGGGTATTATAGTGCCCTTCTGGTGGAATCTGCATGGATTATTATTATTACTAATTATATTTTGTCTTTGTTGTATTGAGCCCATTGACTGCTGTGCATCCAGTTTTGGGCAGGGAACATCTGAGTTTGATTAGTAAGAAGTACTTTTAATATTTACTCTGCTACTACCAAAAGCAGTTTTGCATTTCAAAGGGATTCATTGTATTTATTCCCTCATTAAACAACCCATTTTTCAGCTGAAGGCAGGTTTTGTATAGTGTAGTGTTAATACCTAAAACCAACATCTTCTTATGTTGAGGATGTTACCTGCTGATCAAAACAGGGATCCAGCTCAACTGGGCAAGTTGCTTCCCATCTCTCCGAGACACCAGCACTCAGGAGATGAGATTGATACCTGCTTCCTCTGTGCAAAGATGGGTGAGCTTTATTAGCTCTTTGTGAAGTTTAAATGAAAGATATTGATCCTTTCATCTGAGGAAGATCTTGTTCTTCCTCCCAGCCTAAAGTTCAGCCTGAAGCTGGGGTAGTTGGGCTTTGGCCTATTGACCCACTGAGTCATGAAGGCACTAAGGCAAAATAAGCAGCGTGTAGGTGAGCATTTAAACCTCCAGACCTCCACTGGGAAAGGTAAGGTGATCCAGGGTAAGCAGCTCCTATGAAGTTCAGCTTTCAGCTGGATGATGCACCTCACACGCCACACAGAGCAGCTCAGTCTGAGCTCGGCTGCCAGGGAGGACTCTCCTCGGTCTGTCACCAGCCTGAAGGGGAAGGTCCTGCTACTGTGACACTTTTAGGGTTTAACTGAATGTTCTATTTTTATATTTATTCCCAGGAAGTATTTGCACAAGAGTTTACGAGCACAGGGAGTGACTGGCCGTGGCACTCAGTGCTCTGGGCTGGGTGACAAGGTGGGGATCAGGCACAGGGTGGACTCCATGGTCTTGGAGGCCTTTTCCAACCTTAATGACTCTGTGATCCTATGTTGTTTTCCATGAAGGAGGTGTGTTTGTTTATTCTCACATTGCTTTTGGTCTTACAGACCTTCTCCAGCTCATCAGTTACATCTGAGTACAGTCCTGATCCCAAGCTCAAGCAGAACATTTAATTGCTAAGAGACTTCCTGTACACAGAGCTCTTAATTGCAATTAGAGCATAACACATGAGGAGGCTCCATCCACTCATGTGGACTGGGGTTGTAAACTTAATTTCCCACCACATGACTTCCCTGGGCATTCCGTGGTGCTCATGAAAGACACCAGTTATAATCTACAAGCCCCATTAAATTTTCATCCATGTTCAGCTTCGGTGGTGATTTCCTGAACGCCCTGTATGTGATGTTCTCTTTCACCCAGGAGTACTTTCCCTTGATAAACACTGATGGAAATGCAACCAAAGTGAATTGATATCATCTCCCTTTTCCATTCTGAGGGCAGTTACTCACAGTTTTGCTCTGTTTGCAACCTGCCAAGGATCAGTTGGCTCAGAGAAGGACTTGCTCTGCCTCAGTGACTCCAGCATCTCCCCACAGGCACTGCTGTGACAGTCTCCTCTGGGCACCCAGAAGCCTCTTGCCAGCCATTTTCAGGCTCAAGGGTAGCATCAGTCTCACGATGGAAAACCTTATGAAAATGAAAGCTCTTGTAACCATCAGCAATCCAGAAACCCTCCTTGGCTGTCACACAGTCCTGTGATTTCCCACCCAAGAGTTGCTTCCCAGAAAACACATACTTCTTTTTAACCAGAATTATTTTTAAAAGGTACTTTTTAGAGGTTTAATTTGTCTTTTAAGAGCAGTGGTATCAAGAGAACCATCACGAAGTCTGTCAGTGTTCCATGCCTCCTAAAAGCACTGCTCTGTCTCTAATCAAAACCCACCCAATACTTAGTGACAAAACCAGCTTAACCTGCTTAAAAATAACAGCACCAATTCATCGAGGTTTTTACAACACCTGATATAGGAAGATAAACAGAAAATATATACGTATTTTTGTCTTGCTTAACTTTGTTTATGATGGCATTATGCAGGCATGCCTCTGGCTTACATATAATTTCCTTGCTCAAAGCCCTCCAAAGATTAGTGAGTGTGTCAAAATGGGTTTGTACAAAAGCAGCCCCTGGGGGCCAAAACGTGGAAATTCTACAGTAAAAAAGCTTTAAACATATGAGTGTGTCATTTGTTCTTAGTGTGAATTTAAAAGCATTATCATTATATTAAGGACTTAAAATGTTTTCTGTTCCCTTCTGCTTTACAGGAAAATTCTTGCTGTGCTCCAAAAGATTCAGCAATTTTCAAAAGACAATTTCCCTTGTATTTTTTATTACTGGATTAGTATAGCAACTTAATCCATTCCATATTCTTCCCTGTGAGGGTGGTGAGGCCCTGGCACAGGTTGCCCAGAGAAGCTGTGGCTGCCCCTGGATCCCTGGAAGTGTCCAAGGCCAGGTTGGACGGGGCTTGGAGCAACCTGGGCTAGTGGAAGGTGTCCCTGTCCCATGCCCCTGCCCCTGGATAAGTTTAGTACCCCTTCCAACCCAAACCATTCTGGGATTCTCCTGGCTGGATTTTCAAAGCAATGCCACAATTTTAGCATCTAAAGTTGATTTCTTTACCATTAAATCCTTAGCACCAGGTGTTTGGAAGTATTTAAGCCTCCAAGAAAAGCAAAAGGTTCAGGTGCTTTTGAAAATACAAGCAGGGCTCTGTATTTTTCCCATGTTACCCAGAAGCCTTTTTTGTTGGAAAAGGCATGAAGGTCAGTCTCTCTGCCCGAAAATTTCTAGATCAGGAGATGATAACAGTGGGGTTGCCTGTCTCGTTCATCCTTTGGGGAGATTTTATGCTACTTTACATGGATATTGGGCCCTGATTATGTGTATTGCACTCAAAAAATACAGAGAGATGCCTGCAGAGAGATCAGTCCCTAGGGATTTACCCTACAGCCGGGCTGGGAAGTGAGTTAGATGCCTAATGGGATTTTCAAAAGTACCTTAATAGATTAAGCATCCAGTTACCCAGAGATTTAGGAACCTCATTTTCTTGGCATTAGATTTTCCTTTGAAAATGCAGTGTCTGGGTGCCAGCTGCATCCCTAGGGATACAAAGACCTCTGGAAATTGGGCTTTTAGCAATTTTCCAGGCAGCACATGATGGCAGTGAGCAAATGCAAGAGCTCTGTAGGTTGCTGGCTGGGGCTCTCTTTTTGGAGCTCATCCTTGGGCACTAATTCTGATTAATGCATGAGAATGTCTGGCTGACATGACCAAAAATACCTGAGAATAAAGATATCCTTGGCTTCTTCATTCCACATTAAGTTTTACTGGAGAAATAACACATATTTGTAATTATTACTTGTGGAGGGAAAAAAGGAAAATTTTAAATCCACTTTAAATTTTGCCTTCAAAAGACTGAATTAAATTATTTTTATCTCCTCTCGAGGTCTTATTTATTTCCTACAGTGGCTGAAAACTTCCTGTGCATCATGTTTATTTCTCTTTTAACCCTCTCCTTTAAAGCTCTGTGTCCTACACCCCCTCTTGTTTTTCATGGAAATTTTTACCATGAATTAAAAGGAGCAGACAGAGTTGGGGTAAAGGACATTTTATTTAACTTGGCCTCTGCCTGGACCTAGATATTTGTTTATGATTGTCAAGGTTCCTGCTTTCACCCAGGCAGAAAATAGTTGCTAAGCAGCAGCTTTGCTTTATAAAAGGCCTGATCCTGCCCTGACTTGTGCATGTGGTTGCTTACAGGGTTATCCCAAGGAAGGTAACTTGGATATGCCTCCCACCTAAGAGCTGACACATGTCTCTGTACAACTCCCAGAGTGTCTTGGTTTGGGCTGGGATAGAATTTTGACACACACACATATATATATATATAAATAAATTCTATTTGTGTTCTTGTATGTATTTCTGGGTGTGTCAGTATAAATTGATGTAAAATTTAGTATCTATCCTCTTAAATGCATTCATTTACCTAAACTGTGCTGGTGGTATGAAGCCAGTCCATAGATTTTTGCCTTGGAAAAATCCATCATAAAAACCTCGCATCGGGTTTTTGAGTTTCCTGCAAAACCAGAGAGGTTCATAATGTACAAAAGAACTGTCAAGTCATGTCTCAGCCTTTCTTGCATCATCATGCCTCTGCCATTCTTTTTACTAAAAATAACTCATTTGTTGAAATTTATGCAAGTGAGATGAATGGAACTGTACAAACGTTGGAGATGTCACTCAACAACCCTTCCCTGAGTTTTTGACCTTGGACACAGCAGCCAGGAGGATACATGCTGTCCTCTCAGCTCACAAAGCAGATCAAAAGCCTTAGAGGTGATGAGTGCAAATAGATAGATTTCACATATTTATCATACAAATATAATATGATATGTGAATATTGTATAACTAGTGGTGTGACTTCAGCCAATCCAATCTAAAGTGCTGTAAAGCCACTGCTCCCACAGTCTGGCTCGGCCCAGCAGGCACCTGGGAGATGCTGGGAGCACAGACTGCTCCATCTTGGGATCATGGCAGGGACCCAGGCCAAGCATGACACGATGGTACTCCAGAAGAGCACAAAGAGTTCCCTTTGGAGGCACATCCTGGTCAGGTTAGATCCCTGGCACAAAAGCTGGAGCAAAACAAAACAAGGTTCAAAAACAAGTACGTGAAGACCAGGTTGTTACAGCTCTGGAAGAGGCCAAGGAAAAGCTGGTCTTAATCAGCAGTGGCTGTTTTGCTAATCCAGATGGGATTACACAAGATACTTCGACGAGAATTTCACTCTCACCCTGTACCTGCATTTATTATTTTTTTCAGCAGACCCACTTTCATAGGCTTTAATGTTTAATTAACTGCAAATGAACACATTCCCAAAGAAGTGCCAGTGTAGCCGGAAATTCTCAATTTTCCCCACTCCTGCTAACATTAATTTGTTTCACTATATCTTAAATAAGACAATTCCAGTACCTCCAACCTGAATTTTAGATGTAATCAGATATATATCTCCCATATTCTGTAACACCATGTCAATATCTGAGTTTATCACAACTTCTCAGCACAAACTTAATGTTTGGCCCAAATCTCCAGTTCTTGGGAAAAGTTACTGCCATTTCTCTTTGGTGTTGAAAAGCAGAACTGATTTAAAGTGTATTTTTAAACAGCCAGTGGGAAGTTAAAAAGAGAAGTCACATGCATGACTCATGGTCCTGGAAACAGCTGCACTGCTTTTGGTGACAAAGGGCTGGTTTAGGCCTTATGTAACTCCAGGAAAATCAATATGCAGCAAATGTACTGACCCAGAAAGGAATCTGAGCCCAAATTAAAAAAATTACACAAACTGGCTCATCTCGTGTCTTTAAATGGGGGTTCTTTGTCCCCCCACATCTCTCACTTGCTGTGAGGAGTGATGTGCTGGCAGTAGATTGGGTCACTTGTAGATCAGACAAGGTTCAAAGTTAATCACTGCTGTACTGTGAGTGTTTGACAACACCAGGAGTATGTTGGGCCATTAAAAAATCCCAAAATTCAGGCTGCACCCACCCTAACTGTGGGCAGCTTCTGGAGAGATAAAAGGGGCTACATTCCAGTACCATTCCCCTGGAATTCCGCCTCCAGAGACCTCTGCAAGTACAAAACTGCTTATTTCCACGCCTCCAAAGGACTCAGGAAACCGGAGCAGCGATGCTGGTTGTCTCTTTTAGGCACAAGTTCTGTTTGATATCAAAAATGTCGGACCATGAAGGAGTAAACTCTTCCTCAGTATGTATTTGAAGTGGTTATTTTTGTGCCTGGCTGTAGTTTGTTTCCCAATACCCCTGAGTGTTTTATCTGCTGTTTATGGACACTGTATTCTGCTCACAGATTATTGGGTACTGTAGTACTCAAAACTAAAGCAAATCCAAGTATCTAAGATACATATTTAGCAACCCCAGGCCTATTTATAGGCACTCAGGCCAAAGGTCCATCTCACAGACAACTGGGAACAGAAAATGGTGTTTCAGGAGAGTCCATGAGCCAATTCCTGTGGTCCCTCCTACTGCCCTGAGTTAGGGATATTAGAGGATACATCTCTGACTATTCCCTGTAGTAGCTATTCATGTACCTGGCATCCATGAATTTCTGTAATCCCATTCCAAATCAGCCTCCATCGCCTCCTCAGGATGCAAATTCCAGAAGTTCATTACATGTCACTTAAAGAAGTACTTTCTTCAATTAAAGTTTCAAATTTACCTTTTACCTGTTTCAACCTATGTCCTCTATTACTGACAGATTTAGGGAATAACAGCTTGTCATGCACCCATCACCTTCATCCAAGGCCAGGTTGGACGGGGCTTGGGGCACCCTGGGCTAGTGGAAGGTGTCCCTGTTCATGGCAGGGGGTGGCACTGGATGCACATATAATGTCTGTCATATTTCTGTTTTCATAGAAGGAGATCAGCATCATCCTGAAAAAACTCCTCCTTTGTTTGTTATGAATGGAATTCCAGGTGACTGTAGAATAGTCATCCCAAGTAATCCAACAGGCTGTGCAATAAACTGCTGTAGATCATCTCTGCTTTGCTTGTACAGCAGCAAGAAAGGGATCCCTTCTTGTGGCAGCTGTTGACATCCCTTCCCCTTCTCCTGAAGGGAATGTTAGTCCAGCTGCAGCTTGTGCCTCTTCCCCATTAGCTCATTTTCTGTATTTCAGCCATTTCAATCATGTGTCCACCACCAAACCCCAGTGCCCTGAGAGCAAAGCACAACACTCAGCCAAAGGCACACTGCAGTGCCATCCTAGTCCCTGGAATCTGCTCAGCCCCTCAGCACAGAGAGGAGGCAGCAGGTGAATGATCCAAGATTATTCCGCAGAACTGACTCGCTTCAACCACACAGACTCAGGACACGTGTTTGCCATGTCTAGGAATAGGTTTCCCATCTCCTGTTCCTCCGGACACAGCAGCAGCTGCACGTACAGTGCCGGTGGTCTGAGACAGGAGAGCAAGTGTTTCAGCCTCTGCCAGGGGAGGAATGACATCCAACTCCACCAGCTGCTCCCTGACCTCAGCTGGGAGGGAGGGAGGGAGCAGCCTGGAGCAGGCAGAGAGAGTTCCCAAGGAACCAGTGTCGAGAGGTGTGGTGGGCAAAGGTGGGTTTTCAGGCAGAGGAACCAGAGGTGGGCCTGGGAATTTGAATGGAGACTGGAAAAATGGCCGTGGATAATAATGAGCTAAGCAAGTCCTAAGGTAAGGAGGAGTCAGGACTGGCAAAGTTGAGTTTGTCAAGAGAGTTAGTTTGTGGCCAAAGAAGGATTGAGTGGAGAAGGGTAAGGGAGGGTTACTGCTGACAGGAATGATGTCACAGTGTCAAATGATATCTCCTTCATTCGGCCTGTGTGGTTGGGTTGGGTTTGGAGTTTTTCATTCTGAAATTGAGAAGTCCTGGAAAGCTTGCGACTGTTTCCTTGTTCTATCTCCTCCACCAAACTTTTCACTATGACCATGCTGTTACCCATTCTTTCCCCAAATATGCAGTTCCTAGTGCCAGGATTTAATTTTTCAGGGAGGTAGCTAGGAAGGATGGGAAGATACTACAGCGATACCTGCAGCCAGCCAGTTATTTTGGCCATCAGCCTTCATCGATGACTTAAAAAACCTCAAGTATTTTATCTTATCCAAATGATAATTCATCTTCCTGGATATTTCCTCCCCAAAATCATCCTGGGTTATTCATATTCATAAGCTGGTCCTGTTCTAAACAGTTATATAAAAAAGACATGTATGTGCATGAGTCACATTGCTCTTTGCATCACACCAGAACAATGGCTTTAGGGTGAAAGTGTGTATACAGGACCTGGCTGTTCCAAATTTAACTCACAGTTTTGCTCCATTCTTCCTTTGTGACTTGAACCAGTGACTTGGCCTTTTTGAGCCTCAGCTTCTTAAGCTGCAAAATGAGGTCTGTAAATCTCTCTGAGCTGCTGTGAGACTGCAGTCATTCATTTTTGTGATGGGATCAGAGATTACGGCAGGGAAAACTTCAAGAAAAGCAAGTGTGGTAGAATTCCAAATAAATTCACTCATAAAAAGGGAGCGATTACAAAACCAAAAGGGACCCAGCTTTCACTTACAGATTTCAAACTGGACTTTATAAATGGCAATGCCACTTCCCCTTTCCCATCAAACATGTCAGATATGTTCATTTAGAAGTGAAAGGAAAAGATAAGGCACCCCATAAAAGTACCACAAGGCAGAGCCACTGGGGATTGTTCTCTCTAATGAAGAGTCAGTAATTTAACACCTTGGGGTTTGCCAAAAGTCATAAAAGCAGGCAACGAAAATTAGTGAAGAAAGGACATTGAGAAGAGAGACCATAAATGAACAGGAGGCAAAAATTAAGAGATGAAGATAGATTATCAGTTCTGGGGGCAAGCAAGACAACACTCTCAGTTTCTTTTTAAACTTCAGGCCTCAGGACTGATATAAAAGGAACACCTGCTTTGTTTGCTCTAGTACCTCCTAGAATTCACAAAAACTGAATACACACTCTGGTTTTTGGAGTGGCCATGTGAGTTTTTGGGTCTGAACACAGCTTGTAGAAAACCACTGGTGCCTTTTCCTCTTGTCCCTAAATACATATCACTCCTAATGCTGGAGACTTGGGTGGTAATTAAGGACGTGAAACTGTAAGTAAACCCTGCTGCAATTACCTGAGTAATCTGGTTCAAATCAGCTCACAGGGCTGTGGAAATGTTACTGCAGTCAATTATTTCCCACAGTTGCACAAGGGCCTGGTTCTTGTTCCCACTGAGTTCAAAGGTAAACAGGCTTTTAACTGACAGGGGCAGGAACTTGCTGGTAGGGATGGCTGCAGAGCTCTGGAGTTGGAACAAAACACACACAGCAATTCTCTTGGCACCACAGACAGCATGTTTCAAACTCTCCATCTTATATATGACAATAACTGAGTCCTTAACACCAGGGTCAAAACAGAGCGTTTCATTTTAATAAAAACTGAGTTTGTTCTTCGACTGCCTCTCCTGGCTGTGCTGGTAGGTTAACATAAGGATGGCACTGTGGGATACACATACATTCATTCAAAGAAATAAGCTGGGCATTCCACCCAGCACAGTTAATGCCCCTGGGTAACACGAGCCTGTAGCTGTTCTCACTCTCTGTGCCAGAAGGATGGGGCCAAAGAGTGACAGGCATGACCTTCCCGTGGAACCTGCAGTGCTCAGGAGGGCACGTGGGCGTGACACCGAGCGTATGTTACAGACCCTTGGTGCATCTAGTTCGTCCCCACGGGCAGAGTGCTGGAATTTTAAATCTCTCCAGCCTTTCTGTCCCCTCTCAAGGCCGTGGGGTAATTCAGATTCTGGAGGGGAGACACTGGTGATGCAAGAAAAGTATCTCTTGCTCCAAATGTGCTCCTTACACTTTTCCCTGTGCTGCTCTGCCCTATCGTAACATGACACCGATGAAATCAAAGAGAATCCATGTCTCAGAAAGTTATTTTTCACTGTCAGTACAGAGTGAGGACACAATTACACTAAATTTCTGTGTTCTATGGAATGAATGATGGAGTTTAAAATTAATTCATTGCTCTTCATCAAGAAACAGTGTAGCTCACCTTTGGCTTGTTCCTGTGCACATGAGAAAATTGAGAAAACCAACCCTCAAGGAGGGGTTCTCATTAACCTCCTGCCTTTCTGCCAGCAGGAATAGCAATTCTCACAGCAGCAACAGCTTTCCTTTCACAGGACAGAAAGGTTTTTCTACATTTTTCTTCCTTTTTTTTTCCTAATTAAGTTAGTCATAGCATTATTGTGGCTGAAACATATAAGCAGAGTTAAAGTAACTTTAGAAATCTACCCTTCTGTTTGTGCAGAGATTACAAATGCGCAGTCCAACTCCTAAATCAATTTTGTTCTCACAGCTTTATGTTAGCATTAATTAAAAAAATAAAATTGAGGGACAGTGGGCTCTTCTGTAAAAGCTGAAAAAAGAGCTTTGCTTGTAAAAGAGATTTCACAGTGTTATCATTCTTAATATTTGAAGAAACACTCATAATTTAAAATTTCTAACTCATTTTTCTTCACATTTTGATTTTTCATTAGCAACGATGTAGCTTCAGATGGAGAAAAATAAAAAGAAGGAGGAGCAAATAGGGAGCTCCCAGGCTGCAGTACAGGCAGCAAACATATTTAGTAAGTGCAACCTCAAGGACAAATAGTACAAAGCTCTTACTTGCAGGCACAGTCAGAAGCTGGCAGAAAGCTGAGGGGTCAGGAAGGCAAACAATTCAAGTGCAAAGTGTTTTATTGTAACCCTCTGGACGGGATGTTTCAGCCAAAGAAACTATTGTCCTTATGGAAGCACGAAAGACCTACAGGTGTATGGAAAGAATCACCATTTTTATAATGTACAAGTAGAACATACTTGCAAATACCACTGCCCAGCAAGCACAACTTAATACAGCTGGAAAGCATTTAATTTTAACCAGGCTCCTGGTCCTAAATAAACAATAACCACATTTCAAGTTCTACAGGAAAGCCATAAACTAGAGATTTTTTAACAGCTCATGCCTGGTCAGAAACTCTTGAAGGTGTGTACTCCAAAGGATCAGACTTTAGTCCAGTCTCCTTAAAACCAAAGAATCCCAGACTGGTTTGGGTTGGAAGGGACTTTAAAGCTCATCTTGTTCCACCCCCCTGGCCAGGGACACCTTCCCTTGGACCAGGTTGCTCCAACCTGGCCTTGGACACTTCCAGGGATGGGGCAGCCACAAATGTGCCACTCCATTTGCTGGGGATCAGATCTGAATATCACCTTTTGATTTGTCTGCTCCAAGAATGGGGACAGGACAGGCACTGCTTTGAACACATCCACACTTGTGAACTGATGTCACATCTGGGTTAAATACTGTCCCAGGCCAAGGGAAAATAACTTGTAATGTAAAGAAAGGTAGGATCTCCATGCCCAGGATGGATCTGCTCACAGTTGCCTGGGGAGAATTGTCTTGAAAGAGTTATAAAAGCTGTAATTTTTCAAAAATTGTCACAATCTTCTCTGTGTAAGATATATCTGCAGCTGGGAGTTCACACGAGGCTTCATCCCAAAAGCTGTTGTCTTTGAGATGGCAGGATTGATCCTTCAAGGACAGGTAGTCAGAAGAAGGGTTTTTTTTAAGACATTAACTAGCTGCTCTCTCGGAATCCTCTGTACATTTTCTGTGGACTTAATCCAATGGAATGAATTAGAGAGACTTCTATTTGCTTAATGGAAATGAGACAAGGCATAATTTACAGCCCTGTTGTGGCAGACAGGCTCTGACTTTCTGTCCAGCACAAATCAAGGAAGGTGACTCTGGTGGAAGAATGGGAAGGAAGAAGGGAAAGATGTTTACATTGTTCAAGAAAGATGAACAGAGACTTGACAGAGAACCTGCCTTCAAAATGTAAGGCCATGGCTATTAAAACTGGGTCTTTTAATATTCCTCCATAGTGCTTATAAATTTCCTACAATCTTTGCTCCTAAGTAAAGAATTTATCCAAGATCATCACTGCTTTGCCACGGGGAAAGGAAAGGAGATGAAGTGCCCTGCTCAGAGAAGCTCTTATCAGCCAGCCAGATGGCAAATGAGGTGCCAGAGTTTACAGGAAAGAGTCCAGCACGGACCATCAATCCCAACACAGCCCAAACAACATTAAAATGTCATTGCTAAGGACTCTGAGAGCCAAGGCACAGACAAAATGTGTTCTACACAAAGACTTCTGCAACCAGAATGAATTATGGAAAACCTCTCCAACATGCAGCAAGGAAAAGCTATGGATGAGCAGACCGGTGTGAGAATTACAGAGAACAAATGGAACCTTCAATTGCAGTACATATCTGTACATAATTTAAATATATACACAATACATGACAATTCACTAAACTGTATTGGGTTTCACAAAGCATTTTGTTCACTCATAGAAACAATTTTGCTCTTTAAAACCAAAGCAGGGCCCAGATCCTTGGCTGGTGGTGTCCCTGGCTCAGGTGCTGCACTGCACTGAGCTGTGCTAGTCTGGCCACAGAGGAACACTCTGTGATGCTGGATTTGAAGACATATTGTAGAATGATTTGTCTTTATGTGAAGAGAAAAAGGTCTTGTTCTTACTTCTAGGACCAACTTATTTTTTCTGCATTTTCTCCATTTTTAGTGCAGCAATCCAAGCCCCGTGTTTTGCTCTCACCAAATCTAATATTTTCCCCTCTCACGTGGTTTTCACAACACAGCTTTGGCAGAAGCAGAGTTTGATGTTATGACATCAAGGCTTTGTAATATCCAGAATTAACAAATGCAGCCTTTCCTTTAGCCATTAGGTCTTTAGATGAGACATGTGGGGACAGGGACCAGCAGAAGAGCCACATCAGTGGCTTAGGAGGAACACGCCACTGGGATGAAAAACAAGAGGGCTTTCCAACTCAATCCCACTAGTCCCTTCCAATAATATGTTCTTCTTCAGAAATCAATTAAGATTTAGCAGGAGTTTCATTGGGAAGGATTGCAAAGTTTCTAGCAATTTGAAATTAAAGTATTTGCATGTCATAGAAGTCTTTTCCATCATCACAGGAAATACAGTTGTCCAGAACAATGGTGTTTTAATGATGTAAAATCATTTCATGTTGATTACTAAGCAAGAAGCACAGGAAAAAAACCTTTTTTTTTCCAGGAGTGAGTTTGGGTCATCAGAATGCAACCAGCCCAAAGGAGGTGCTGCCTGAAGTCCTGGATTAGACATGCTTCCCAAAATCCCAAACGTGTTCCCCTGTCTACATGAAGAGAACTGGGAACACTCATCTGCTAACTGGGCTGTGGGGAAGATGCTACTCTTGCTCTCTGATGTCTCAGTCGGTGGCTGATAATGAAAATTGATGGTGATTCATAAAGACATCTCCTTTCCTGAGAAAACTGGAACAGCATCTTACGTAATCCCGAGATTTACTTAATTAAGGAACATCCCAGCTATTTGGTCATGGTTCCTGTCTCTTGTCTTCACCTCCTGCTCCCTCCCAGCTTTGCCTCTGATTACAATGGCCCTGATAAGAAACTTCATTCACAAAGCAAGCAGAGAGTGGGAAGGCAGGACTGAGGTGTGGCTGGTGATTTAAAAACTGAAAGCAGGCAGTGAGAATGTCTCAGGGAAATCGGGATTGTCCTGTTTGCTGCAGGCAAAGTGAGAAGCTGGGGAGGGCTCAGCTCCAGTGTGGGCACTGTGTATCTCAGAGAGGTGTGTAGGTGAGGAATATACCTACAGCTTTAATGCCTGCTTCCGAGGAGACAAGACCATTATTTGCAGTATTTTGAAGCACTTTCTGCTTGAAATCTCAGAAACACCCAACTTCAGTGTTTTGAAGCACGCTTCTCCACCGAGATTCTTGAAAAATTATAGAGAAATGGGTAAATATTATAATATATGACAATATATCACGCACATTTGACTGGCAAGACACTGAAGCTGTATCTAACATAATCTACAGGTTTCCTATTTCCTGACCAAGGCGGCCTCTGAATCCGGAGGAAGCACACAGGGAAATTGCACAGGGAAGTGTATCACTGCCTTCCAGGTGACCTTGGCACTTTAAATCAGGAAGCAAACATGGAGCCTCAGCCTTCACCCGGCCCGTGGATTATTTATGATGATCTTGCAGCAGCTCTCAGGCGCAGCCATGAATCAGGAACCCGCTGCACTATCTCACATACAAACACATAACAAACAGACAGGGCTTCCAATGCCCCTCATTTATCAGCAGGGATGTTTTCAAATTACTTTCCCTGGCAAGACAGGATTTATCGTGAAGAGAGTGTGTGGATATTTCTCATCCAGCTGGGAAAATGCCGTTCCCAGGGGGTTCCGAGGTGCTGGAAGAGGCGAGATGGAGCTGGCGTTGCCTCACACACAGGGCAGGCTGCCAGGGAGAGTTCCCAGCATTAAGCATGGCATTTTTTGGTCAACTAGATATGACCCCTTGAACTATAGCCCAGGGAAACGAGGGGGAGTCATGGCTGAGGCGGGGCCATGGCTGAGGGGATGACATGGCTAAGGAGGTGACATGGCTAAGGAGGTGACATGGCTGAGGGGATCATTGTTGAGGAGGTGACATGGCTGAGGGGGTGACATGGCTGAGGGGATGACATGGCTAAGGAGGTCATGGCTGAGGGAGTGTCGCAGCTGAGGGAGTGTCGCAGCTGAGGGGGTGACACGGCTGAGGGGATCATTGCTGAGGGGATGATATGACTGAGGGGGTGTCATGGCTGAGGGGGTCTCACAGCTGAGGGGGTGCCATGGCTGAAGAACACAGGCCGCACCAGGTTTGAAAAACAAGGGTCACTGAGCCAGTTGTGCTCGCGGCTCAGCGCTGCCAGCAACGCCCGTGGCGGCGCCGGGTACCGGCAGAAACGGGCATGGCGGGTCCGCCCCTACCACCTCCTCCTCAGCCCTCACGGGCCCGGCCGTTCTCCCGCCGCCCCTGAGGCGGACGCGCATTGCCCGCAGCGCCCCGGCCGCGGAGGGCGGAGCGGCCGGACTCGATTCCCGGCCGACCGGGGCTGATCACCGCCCCAGCACCGCCTCCTTCCCTCCTTCCCTCGCTTCCTCCCGCCCCGCGCAGGCGAACGGTCCGAGGCGCAGCCCCTGCGGGTTCCCGCAGCTCCGTGGCCGCGCTTCCCGCTCCGCTCCCGCCGCCCTCCTCCTCTCCCGGCAGCGCCGCGCCCTCCGCGCCCTCCGCTCCCTGTTCCCGGCGGGCCGGGGCTGCCCCTGCAACCGGCTTCCCCTGCAGTCCGGAGGCTCCCAATATGTTCAGCGCCGTCTGCGCTCAGAGGCACCAGGTAGGGCGGGCGGGGGGCGGCAGGGCCGTGCGGCCGCTCTTTGTTCGGCGCCGGGGAGCGGGCGGGGCGGCGGCCCCGGGCGGGCGCCCCGCGCTGAGGGAGCCGGAGGCGCTGCGGCCCCGCCGCTCTTTGTTGGGTGCTCGGGGCCCGTCTCCTCGGGCCGCGGAGTTGCCGTGTGGGCACGGCCTGGAGGGCGGGAGGCCGCTCGGTGCCGGCGGGGGGCAGCGGGGCTGTGGTGTGACCCCGGCCGGGGCTCCCCGCGCTCTCCGGGGCCAAGGGCAGCGTTGCCTTCCCCCAGCGCCACCTCCCTGAACCCTCAGGAGTAACTGGGGGGGAAAGGATCGCGGAAGTCCCGGGCTTTGCAGGAAATAGGGGTGAACAACGTGAGCTGACAGCTGCTTGCCAATGTCACTGCCCTTTCTGTCATCTGTACCCGCTCTGGGAACGGGGGGATAATACAGCTGAATGTGGGCTGTCAGCCCACGTTAGTGCTTCTGGGGAAAGCTGGTGAGGATGAATGACCACGGGGTTTGTCGGGTTTTTGTTTGGTTTGGGGGGGTGGGTGGGCAGAAGTACAGTGTTTTCTGCCGGTGTGCACCGATTTCCAGCAGCTTTGTGGAATTTTTCAGAGGCGCTTCAAGGTAGAAAATACCTTCGCGTTAGAAAATACCTTGGCATTGGCACCCTCACTGTTCCCTCACCCGAGATTCCCTCGGACAGTAAAACCTGGATGGATTGCTTATGATTTTTATGGAGGATAGAGGAATGTTGACAAAGTGAGAGGCAGAGTTACTCCTAAGGAGATGAGTGGTGGTGGAGTAATGGAAACACAGCCTCATGTCACTCTTTATTTGTGTGGTTTGTGAAGGGAGGATTTTTTTTTTTTGTTGTTTCCAGTGATGGGTGTGTAGACACCACATTTATTCTCTTCTGTCAGGGAGCTGCAAAATAAGAAGCCAAGCAGGATGTGGTGCTTCCATGGTGAGATTGGTTTAATTTTAGAAAGCGGATTTTTTAGCCACAGGCCTGACTCCTGAGCACAGGGTGCAACAGCGAGGGAATACCTTCCACTTAGGAAGCTGCTGTAAATAGGTCTGATCTTACTTTCCTCAGCTTGAGTTCTTAAGGAGCAGGAGATGGTAAGAAAGGCAAAAACTACCCAGATTGGGGGGGTGGGAGACCAGGAGGACACACAAACAAACCCCACTAATTTGGTTGTGTGACAGATGTTTAGAGAACTGTGGGAAGTGTCTGTTAGTGGGAAAAAGAAACCCATGAGGAGGGAGGGAGGGAGGGAGGAGGAAAGAGCTCAGATTTTAGTAGAGTGGATGTGAGGCAGAAGCTGAAAAAAGGGATGTAGATAAAGACTACATGGGAAAGGGGAGGAAAGGCAGGAGCAGTGTGGAAAGGGGACTAATGAACAGTGCTGGGACTCGGAGGCGTGGGAGGCCAGTCCTGGAAGCAAGTGCTAAATGGGCAGCTGAGGTGTCAGAGCTGAGGGTTGTCGCTGGAACAGCAGTAACAGTCAAGCAGAAAGCCTGCTGCTTATAAATTTTTAAAGTCTGCATGCATAATGTGTGTTTGGAAGAGCTCTCTAGGCTTGCTCTCTATAGAGGACAGTCCAAGTATTGTGTCCTCTGGGGCTGCATGTCAGAGATTTTGGAAAATGTCCACAGTGCTCCATCCTTCCCGTTCAGTTCTTACCCAGGGATAGCAAATATTCCCTCCCTCTCTCCTCATTGCTGGGGTGGGAGCACAACTGAGGTTGATTTGCAGCGAAATAGAGCAATTTTGTCTACAAGTCATAGTTATCAGTGAGACTAAATCTTCAGTGGAAATCAGCTGAGAAGTGAATAAGCAAAACAAATTGTTGTAAATCTTGAGTCTTACTTTAAATCCCTGGTCTAAAGAAGTTGAGCCTGTTTAGTGGTGTGAAGTATGTTGATACATGTCTTGGTCCATGACGTGGACCAGTGCAAACTCAGACATGAAAAGATAGTGTGTTTTTATCATAAATAAATGCTAATCTCTGAAAGAAATGTTTTGAGGACGTCTGGTTTTATCTTCTGATACAGGTAATGGACTGTGAACAGTTGTAGGTGTCCATTCTTCTGAGCTGGGCTGTGACAAGCCAAAAAGCACCTAAGGAGGTGTTACATTCCATTTTTGTTTCATTGTCCCAACAAGTGTCAGTCGAGTGTCCATCATTATTTCAACAAGTATTGACTTTTAATGGACAGATGAACAAGTATCTCTCCCAAGGTAGTGCTTCACTTGTGAGTTGAGGAGGTAATACCTTAATCTGACAAAAAAGTTTGTGCAAAATTGGCACAGAGCAAGGGCTTTGTCTGCCTTTCCAGTGAAATACAGCACATGGAAAGTGGACTGTATTAAAGGTGAGAGGTGAAAGAGAGACTCCCTGTGTTGTTGGGTCATGGGCAAGGTGACTTTTGCCTCTGGGGCTTGTCTTGGTGCCTCACCAGAGAAGATCACAGGTGGCTCTGCAGGGGAGTCCTAGGGCACAGTAGGGAGTTTGAGATGCTCCAGTAATAATCCTGGGGAAGGTTTTTTAAATGCTGGAATATTTTCTGCAGTGAGCAACTGTTTTAATAAAACATTGGGTTGTGCAGATTCAAAATTCTGAATGTAATTAAGAATTTAAAGTGTATTAATTATTACATTTATTTGCTCTTGTAACTGAGCTAATCATATTCCAGCAGCATTTACAAGATATATAAGAGGATAGTGTAGTGTAGGATGAGAAGACTTAGTATCATGGTTATTTAGGTGAGTCTTCTTAAATGCACCTTTAAGTGTACATCCAGTGAAATGGAAAGATGAATTTAAGAGGAGGAAGTTTCCCTTCTGGAAGGCAGTGTGTGCAGCCAGTTTATTTTCATGGCCCGGTGGTGCACACGTGCAGCAGAGGAGAATCTCAGTCTGTACCCCACATGAAGCGTTCAGGATCCACAGTTATCACAGCACAGTTGTGTTTAAGTGGAGCAGCTGGGCAGACATTTGAGTCCTGGCATTCCTGTGCTTGGGAACAGCCGTGACGTGGGAACGCACCACGTGAGCGTTGGGCAGCACGGCGTGATGGGCTCTTGATCGAAGGGCTGTCACCACTATCCAGCCTCAGGACTGACCAGAACACAAAGCCAGACTTCACACATCAATCACTCTTGATTTCTTTTCTTTGCTTCATTTAAAAACTAAGTGCAGGGAGCTCTCAAGTAAGAGTTTTCTCAAGTGGAATGTGCTGTTCCCATTCCGGGATGCCAGTTTTGGAGGTTTAAAGTGTTTAAAGAAGTGCATTTGGGTGGAGCTTGAAAAGTCTTCAGAGGCACAAGGATTTTCCTGAGTGGCAATGATCTGGGAACATCACACTTGGCTTCAAACAAATTCAAAATCCTGGAAAATTGTGGAAAAAAAGCCACACATGGTTCTTGCTGTGGTGAGATAGAAGGGAGTATAAGCGAGGGGGGGGGAAGGGAATGACAAAGTGATTTAGATTTTTAAAATAATTTTAAGGAAGAGGTGGTTTGCAGTACCTGTTTATAACCTTTAATGCAGAAAATGCAGCATTCTTGGCTTTTCAGTGGATTTTGGCTGATAGTTTGGCTTTTGTTCTAGCAGTAGTACACCAAACCAAAATGAATGTGGAAAGTAATGAATCTGCTCGTGCTATTTAATGCTATTTTGAGTAATAATATTAGCCATGACACACAAACCAGCACTGAAACTCTGTGGCAATAATTAAGACGTTCCCAGACATTCCCTGAGATTCGTTTGGAATTGTTTGACTGGCTGTCCTGTAACTGGAAGTGTTTTGGTTGAGGTGAATCTTTGGGGAGTCAGGCTCTGTTCTGAGAAGTTTGGATCACTTTGAAACCTGCAGTGATTATGCCAGTTGTGCCCACATGAGAAGTGTTGACTGCCAAATGCTTAATTAAATAATATTTGGTAAATAGAGCTTGGTTTCAATTTCAGAACTCGCCTGTAGGATTATAAAAAGAATACACCTTTAATCTTTGAGATTTCTTTTCCTAGAAAAGCAGGCTGACCTTAAAGTAGAAGGTTGTAGTCCCAGGGTCCTCCCAGCGTTCCAGGGTTCTCCATTCCAGCTGGATGGAGCTCTGGAGCAGGTGTCCCTTCCTTGGCGGAGGGGGTGTGCCTGTTCCAGTAGCCAAACTTAATGACTGTTAATTCCTCCTGCACGGAGTGTTGCCTGCAGGGCTGCGGGGCTGGGAGCAGAGCTTCGTGGAGCTGGGATATGGCGGGATAATGCCCCCTCCCGTCCCGGGAATCAGCCTCCCGCTGGAGCTGCTGCTCTGCCCGGGGACCAGGGACACAGAGCTCCTGCCCGGGGACCAGGGAC